AAGGGCTGAGTGGTTTTGTCCGACTTAGGCCAAATCCGACTTATCGAGTGTCCGACTTATCGAGTTTCACTGTGTATTTTGAATTAAGCCAACAGTCTGTTTCTCCTAGATGATTAGTCGAATCAAAAATAATGTTAATGCTGAACTATGCAAAATACACAATGCGGATATTATAGAACTTGAATTACCACAAATAAAGGCCAATGGCAAGAAAGGTGACAAAATTTTTGAAACAATCCATGATATTTTCAATGCAGAAATTGTTGACAATAAGTTGTTCATCAAGGTAAAGTATAATAATAAGGTACCATTTTTGTTTGCAGTTATTTTACATTTTCTAATTCTTTGCTACTATTTAAGTTTGATGGTGGACTCAAACTGGAAGTGCATAAAAGGTTGATGTATTCACTTGACTGACAACTTCCAACTTGGTGGAATCAGATGAATACAATATGTGTGGTTAACGGTAATCAATAACCTGATGTGGGTGGTTGGAATCCTAAACCAACACTTGATCAAAGGCATCAACCTATAATTAATCCATGTCCACCACCGTTGCTGTGTGTGGATCGAGGTGATGATTTGTCTTCAGAATTATGCAACTAATTCTTGATACAATCAGCCTAATCAAATATTTATAGGTGGCCTATGATGATTCTGGGGATCGTGATAATGCCATAAATAAATTCGCACGCGTTCAACCCCACTGCCTGACCACAGAATTCACAATCATTGTTATTCCTGATACTGCCTTTCCAGAAAATTCAAATCCGGGTGCCATTTCAACGGTGGCAACACTCGAAACGGCTTGTCCTTCTAGTGCTCCATATATCGGCTATTTGCCCGCGGGAAATATTATTACTGCAATTCAATGGTACAAGATGGAATGGAATAGACACCTTGTATTAGGATGTGGAGCGAACATAGATTTTAATGATATACTTCAAGTCATAAGATAAAATTTACAATCAACAAATAAAACTATTACAGTTGAAGCTGTTTATAGTGAATCTGGTTAAACAGAACTCTGGCTGTAGTGAACCAAACTGCCAAGACCCGAATTTTTATTAAATAATAAATCTGCTTATAGTGAATTTTATTAATAAATCTGTTTATAGTGTCTGTGAACTCGTTATCCAAAGCCTAAATCGAAATTTCATATGATATTCCCGCTGTCTATTGTAGACTGTCACACAAACATAGCAGGGAAATTATTGTATGATTAGGCCGTTAGCCAAATTTAGTTAGTATTAGAGTTATCAGGCAACCAGACTGTAAAGATTATGTCAGTGTGATGTAATGGCTTATATTTATTATTATTATAAATAATCATCAATTTTAATGATTTGGTACCAAAGCTACTCCATAACAATATGTCAAGCAAAAAAAGAATATCTCTCTCTGCCAAATGATGCTAACATTTCAGCAGATGATTATGTTCACGTTGAAGACGAGAATAATTGGACAATCCTTACTGATAAAATTAGTAAATGAGTAGCGAAAGTGAAGCTGAAATGGTAGAAAAGTTAGAAACAATAAGTAATAGAACAGCCAGTACATCAATCGACACAGTTTTAAAATTCTTGTATCAACAAGGATCAGAATTTGGCGAGGTTGTCGAAGAAGTAAAGATTTTGAGAGCATTATGCAGACGGGTGGAGCTAGTCATTCAGAAAAATCTTAAACAAGTTAGTCTTCACCATTTTGAGGATAAAATGATTGAACAGTAGTTGGGAGTTCTTTTTATAGTGGTTGGGAATTGGTAAACATAATAAAAGGCCATTGTTGCACATGTGTATTGTATGTCACATGACTTTCGCTATAGTGAATGCTGGCTATAGGGAACTAAAATCCTCAGACCGGAGCAGTTCACTATAAACAGCTTCAACTGTATTGTTTATTATTATACTTTCTTTAATTGCTTTCCCCTTATTAGGATTGATAACAAATGTCTCGATTTTACCAGCTACCTTTGGATACAACCTCGCCATAGACTGCTTTTCGTGAGTTGAACAATGCATCAATTTCTTTCCAGAGTTCGAAAATAGTGCCAGTATAATTCTGAGATCCCGCACTACTTCCTCGACCGTCACGAACCTCTCGTATATCGTACCCAAGATGTTTTACAGTTTCGGATATATCAGAGATAGATTTTTTTGAGGTAGAAGACATCTTTGCATTAAATTGATTTTGTTTTGTTTGTGAATTGTTTCTGGTTCCGTATCATCTGGAGGAAGCACAATACAAAATCGGATGTAGTTTTGGTGGATAAAATTTATTTGTATTGTGTGTGTTATCGAATTTGGTAGCTTTCGCGAAACTGCCAATAAGGTCTGCAAAATTGACGTGTTTTATAGAATTCATGGTTGCACTTGAGTTATGGAGCGAACAATCGTCTGCGAAGTAGACCCCGAAGGGGGTTAATGAAAGCAAAGATGAATTAATGGTCGCTATATATTAGTTATAATTAGCAAACGCGACAATTGTCGTCCAATAACCTAATATACTGTGTATAATCGTATTTCTTTGAGCACGGATAAGAACAATTCAAAAAGCTAATGTTCTCAGCTGAAGATGTGGATTCTAAAGATAAGACTACTGCTTATATATCTTCTAATCGTTTACTAAAATTATTAATTAAATTAACTAAATGAGGAAGGCAGCAAGGGTTTTTGTATAACTATTGTAAACGCTTCACCGAAATTCTGCTGGAATGTTCGTACCTACCCTTATGAAATTGTTTCTTAAGATGTAATTATCAAAAGCATATTAATATTTGCTTTTGTCAGCACAAACATTTTTACTGATCAGGAGTCATAACTACATTTCTCTTGGGACGCATGATAATTGTGAAATGCATTCAAGATTAAATTTTTCCACTACGAATAGTACCATAGATTCAAAATTTGATCTCTCAATGAAGAAGCAAGATATTCGGGCAATCATTTATAAATCTGATAGCAATTTTTTGCGCTTTCAAATGAGTATAAATTTGCGCAAAGTTATATGTGGATTGATTTTTTACGATTCGCGCATAACCTAATTTTAACGTTTTTCGTAGGATAAAAGTTGGCTCTAGGTAAATTCGTAATTTTTTTACTATCTAACATATTGCTGTTAATACTTATTATGTTATTATTAAATAGCGTAAAGCAGTGAATATACAGTAAATCTGAATATAAAACATTCGTCTTTCCAATATTCATCGTCGATAATTTCAGCATCGTGCCAGTTTTTCTTATTAAAGAATAAAATTTTTACGTACTGAATGAACTATTCTTTGTTCAGTAGTTTGCCAATTTGAATTTATAACGATTGGCTTGATTCTTCGAGTCGTTGAATAAGAAAGGAGGAAGTTTGCAAAAACAACGAGCTTAGCGAGCCCAAAGAACATTGCCGACCTTGCAAGCTCGCTATTATTTTATTTTTTTTCAACGCCTATGATCTCAAGTCCACCTCACTCGAATTCTCATTCTTTCCCCCCGCGAGTCCTCCTCATCGCCC